AAAGGATATTTATACAGAAATGTCCTCTAATCTGTTTCAGGTTTTATCTGGAGTTATTAGTTCAAACAGAAGTCTAGAGCGGTTTTATGGTTTATGATGGTAGATGATCCTTTTTTTTCTCTATTTGGCTTCTCTAAATCGCGCTAAAAATGCTCCAAGTGATAAAATCTGAGATTTTTCCAGCGTGTCACATGACCAAACCCAGCTGTGATGTCACTGTGGTCAATCGTCCCAGAGCTCTGAAAGGATCGTTAAAACGTCGTTGCACTGGTCTGCTGTAGGAATGGCTTTGGATCAGGAAAAGGAAAGTTTTATTATCCAAAATAACCGGTTTTGCATCAGATTTCAATCCGGAAAGTAAATAATTAGACAAAAATGAACCGATAAAAGCTGCAGCTCCAGATGGATTTCCATATTTTTACAGGAACCGCGATGGACAACATTCAGTTCCTGCAGGCAGGGACCCGCTGCAGGAACTATGGCAGGCCGTTTTAACATTTATTAGAAGCACCGTCCTCTTTATTGTTCCATTTATCTCTAAGATAAAATTCTTCATTCTTCATTCCTACCAGCCAGAAATGCTTATTTAGATATTCTAAACCTAAATTACATTTTTGTCTGGAAAAATAAAATTTCTGGCTACCAATAATAATATTCTACTTGTCAGATTAAACTTTCAAATATCTAGAAATCTTTAAAAGTTTTAAGTGGCCTTTTTGATATTTATTAGCTTGACTGAATATATATATCAGACGTCTCAAATGCATTTCTTTTTAGTCAGAATGAACATTTCAGATCTCTAAAATAATCCTTTTTAAAATGAATTCTGACAAGGATGAACTCTAATTTCACATCTCTATAATAGAGCTACTACCACTGGTCATAATTAATATTTCAGATATTAGAAATGAAGATAATCTAGATAAACAGAACTCCAATTCTTTCATATTAAATATATTTCTATTAGTAGAAATATAATTATTGAAATCTGACTAGTTAAGTTGGAATTTCAGATATCTACATTTTTATATCTATCCAAAATGCAGTTTTAGAAACTTAAACATATTTTGACTAACATTCAAAAAAGTAATGAGGCGTCATTTTAACTTAAAACAGGCAGGTAGACGAGTCACATTTCTATCATAGATAGCACACCTAGTCACAATTATAATACTGCTTTTAGAAATCACTGATTGCAATTTTTAGTACTAGTAAATAAATAAGTACTAGTAAGAACTGCGTTTCACATTTCTACAAATCTTTACTAATTTTAGGAGGCCGTTTTCAGATATCTTTAATAGTATTCCTCTGATCTAAATAGAATATTTTAGTACTTTCAGATATCAGAATGACGTTACTCCGATCTAAAATAATCATTCTGGATTTCTAAGATCCTCGTAATCCGATTGCAGAAACGCTAATAGGAAGAAAGTTATTTAAGTTACCTGAAATGTTCATTTTGATGAGGAAGAAATGCATTTAAGACATCTGAAACACATATTCAGTCAAGCATATAAACATGTTCTTGGTATTTCTTTCTAGTACAATTATATTTTTGGGTTCCTGAAATTAATTTTTTGTAAAAATGTAATTTAGGATATCTATATGAACATTTCTGGCTAGTAGGAACGTAGTTTTGACGAGTAAGAATCTTATTTTAAAGATAAACAGGACAGCGCTTCTACTAAATGTCAAAACGGCTTGCCATAGACCAGCCTTCACACCCAGCCGGAGCAGCAGGCTCCCAATTGGACCTAACCCAGCCACCACAGGACCCATCAGAATTTATTTTATTTTCATCTGTAAAATGTTTTGAAAGATGAACTTCTTGCGAACATGTTTATCAAAGAACATTTATCAGCGGTGATTAAAACAGCGAGAATTAATAAAACCACGAAGACTCTGCTTCATATTCGTCCTCGTTAAAGGATAAAATCTCCATCAGTAAGATGAATAAATATTGACTCGCTATGAAAAATGACTTCCTGACTAAACTGACGTCACGGCGTCCTAGTGGGTCACGTGACTGAATGAGGAATTCTCTGTCGCCTGCTATCTTAGCGATTTATTTTACGCTATAAACAATAAAATGCTGGAACTTTTTATTCATGTATTTTATTTTGTAAATGTCAGCAAATGTGAAACTATATTTGTTTTCTAGTTCACCTTTAAGCTGAGTAGAAGATCCAAACATCAGTTTGTCCTTCAGCTGAAGAACACATCAGTTTGCAAACTGAAGGTT